AATCAGGGGGGAGACCCCCCCCTTCCTCTGGGGCTGTCAGAGGTCCCACAGTGGGGGGGCTGCCGTACTCCTGGCCGGGAGCCCAGAAGTGATGCCCTTTGCCCCAGGTTGGTGCCTTGTCCCCAAGCTGAGCACAACCTACCTTCCTTCGGGAGAAGAGCAGCCTCTGCTGCAGGTCAGGGCAGCTGCTGACCACCTCGGGGTCCAGCATCTCCAGCCAGTCCACCAGGAGCCCTGACGAGGGTCCCAGCCGCACTGTCTCCAGGCTGCAGGAAGTGGGGGTTCAGTGATAGTCCTGCAGGGGCTGCTCACCTGCTGCCTGCGGCTCCCAGCTCACCTGCTGCCATCCGCGTCCTGCCTTCCCGAGCCCTGGGGCTCCTCCTTCTCCTGTAGCAGCAGGGAGCTCACCACCACGATGGGCTTCGAGGCTGGAAACGAGGCGGCGGCATCCGTGGTGGCAGAGAAGAGGGCGGCCAGTAGCTCCTCCAGGTGGGGAGACCTCACCTCGATCAGCCCCCGCAGGACTGCCAAGGATAGAAGACATCCCCTCAGATTCCCAGGTGGGGGAAGACCCAAGCTGGGGTAGGTTAGCCAGTCCTGGGTGTGGGGCCATCATGTGCAGAACATTAGGCCCAACAGCAGGGCCCAGAGGGACTCAGGGGAGCATAGCAGGGCTGAAGTGGGGTGGGGCTCCCCATCAGGGCCACTACCAGCCATTCTCAAGAGGTCTCCATTTGGAGACGTCTGGGAGAGGATCTGAGAGCACCTTCTGGGGATGGCACTGAGTGTCACTGCTTACCCTCTGCAGCCTAGTGGCCGTGGGGCCCTGGAGAGTACCTTTGCTGACCAGCTCCGGCTCCACACTGCACTTCTCCCCGGACCGCAGAGTGGCGATGACAGCCCGTACTGTGGAGTTGACCACCTCCAGGTCCCGATGGAAGGCCAGCGCCTCGGCCAGGTGCAGGAGCCCACTTCGCACTGTGGGAAAGTCTGTGTGGCCGCCACCGTTGGCTCTGGCTTCTGCCCCTCAGCCTTCCCTGCATGCCCCAAGGTGAGATGGGCCCCTTGGTCCACATAGAAACCCTCCTCCCTGGGGAATCCAGGTCACCACAGGCTGCTAGGTACCCAATGACAGGGCCACTGTGCCAATGCCAGTCCAGTGCCTGGGACCCCACCCAGCAGTGCTGACAGGCCCGGCCCTCGTGGGTGCCCACTATTGCCCTCACCATCACTGATCCTGCGTCTGGCAGAGTACTGGGTGGCAAACAGTTTGAGCTGGGCCCGGAGTGGCCCATCCTCCACGGCGGGGCTGTCCAGCCACTGCAGGATCTGCATGAGCACTTTAAGGAAGAGCGAGGAGAAGCCAGTGTCCTGGGGTACACAGCGCTGTGGGAACAAGAGCAGCAGGTGGGCTGTGCTTGCCCAAGGCCAGAAGTGGTCCCACACGGCAAGGAACTCAGGCTCCTCGTTGCCATTCATAGAATAGCAAGGAACCCAGGGATCCTGGACCCAGAAGAGGGGCCTGGCTGAGGCGGGCCCCACGGTAACTAGCACTCTGCAGCCCAAGTGAACATTATCCTTCCCACATGCAGGACGGCCTGACAGAGAGCCTTCTGAGACCCCGCAGCTGGGGATGTGTCCGTCTGCTGGCAGTTTAGTTCTGTAGTCTCTGGAGAAGACGTAATCACGTGTACACAAACTCGAATAAATCAAGTACGTTCACGCATAAATGGAGGCAGATTCGGTGAGCAGACCTTGGGGGTGTGTGAACATGAACGCTGGCACGCCCTCACCCTCTTTTCAATGGGAAACCAGAATAAAGATAAGGGGCTCTGCTCCCACTCTCTTTCTTCACTTAGGAATTAGGAACCTAGGCCCACGAAAGGACACCTGGGGACCTCATCAGTCGTCAGTGTGGACATGGGTGAGGCCGGGACCTTGCTATGTCAAAGGGCGAGAGCCCCCTTGTCCTAAGAGCCACCCCTCTCTTCATTCCCACCATGGCAGCTCCTGCTGCCAGGAGTGCCGTGTCCCAGGTACCTGGTACTGGTAGAGCTGACGCATCAGTGGGCAGGAAAGGAAGTGGTTACGGTGCATGGACATCACCAGGGCGCCACTGTGCGGGGAGCTGAGCAGGGTGGCGATGGCTTGCAGGAAGCGCACCGTGATGCCTGGTACCTCGGGGTTCCCCTGGCGAACTCGGGCCAGCTCCTGGCCCAGGGCCTGCTGCAGTGCGAGGGCAATGGGGCGGGGGCTGGAGCTCTGCCAGCGTGGGTCAGGACTCAGTGGGAAGATCTGGAACAGAGCATGCGGGCATCAGAAGGGCACAGGAAGGCTGAGCACCCCCTCACACAGCTCCGTACCAGGACTGCAGCCCTTGTCAGTGTCCATTTATGTGTGGCCCCCCCATCTCATGGACAGAGGAACCCAGAACCTGCGCTAGGAAGCAGCAAGGACCCCAACATCCCCAAGAATAGTCTGAGGAGGACAAAGGTGTCTGGAATCTGTTGAGGGCCCAAAAGGCTCCTCATGAGGGAGGGGAGACAGGCTGGGGACTGGTGAGAACCCCAATTCCCAGATAAGGCCGTAAACTCGTTTTTACACATATAAAATGGAAGGTGAGCTCAGAAGGGCATGAGGTGAAGAGAGTGTGTACAGCACAGGTAAGCCAGAGTGGCACACAAGGGTCTAAGTTGCTGTGTGTGAAAACGTGAGTGAAGAAACGTGTGTGCAAGAAGGGCTACACCTGGGGATCCACATGCAGCAAGTCAGTACCTGCAGGAACATGCCAGCCAAGTCATCCTCGGGGCCGAGGACCCGGACCTGAGTCCCAGCTCGAATCCTCCCCTGTCCTGGTGGGAGCTCTGGGCTGCTTTTTGGTTTTGGTGCTTCAACACTATCTGCAGAGAAAGGGGAAGGAACCATCATGAATTGAAGCTCTTTCTTTTTCTTTTGGAGAGGTTTTTGCTATAGGGTGTGTGCGCTTGCCAGACAGACAGAAACAGAAAGCGAGAAATCATCGCCCATGAGGGATGGCCACGCCATAATCCCTTCTCCTCTCGGGATCTTGGGCATGCACGCACACACGCCCGGCTTGAGTTTTAAGTCACCGGGTCAGGGACACGAACCACGGTCGACTACATGGGAGTCCAGTGACATAGCTATTACGCTAGCTGCTGCTCTCTGAACTGAAACACTTTCTGACTAGCTTCCAGAGGACAAAACTGTGCAAACCAAGACCAGTCCTACCTGAGGACTGTCACCAGGAAAAGTCAGCGTTTAGGCCCCATCAAAGGTCTCTATTCCCCTAAGGATCCAAATCTAAGCCTTCAAGGAGGATGAGTTTTAATAAACAGCAGCCCACACTCTGGTCAAAGGCAAATGCTGACCAAGGAAACAGCCCGGGAGTCTGCAGGGTCCAAGGAGCCCAGGGCAGTGGTGCTGAGAGTTGGGGAGGAAACAGTACCTCGCCGGGGTGGCAGGGAAGCTGTGAGCAGGGAATGGAAGGTCTGGCCTCCAGAAGCACCTCTCTCGTGCTGAACCTCCACCAGGTGGGCCATGTAATCTGCAAAACAGCAGCCAGGGTAACAACTGGATACACACAGGGAGTTCCTTCCTTCTCCCCTAGCAGTCTGAGGGGGCACGCTCCCACAGATGCTCCAGTGGAGCACATGGACCCTCTAGAGGCTGAGCTTCAGAACCTTCCGGCCCCTCTCTTTCTGGCTGGAAACTGAGCCCAAGGGCCCCTGGCTCTTTCTTTTTCTTTTGGAGAGGTTTTTGCTATAGGGTGTGTGCGCTTGCCAGACAGACAGAAACAGAAAGCGAGAAATCATCGCCCATGAGGGATGGCCACGCCATAATCCCTTCTCCTCTCGGGATCTTGGGCATGCACGCACACACGCCCGGCTTGAGTTTTAAGTCACCGGGTCAGGGACACGAACCACGGTCGACTACATGGGAGTCCAGTGACATAGCTATTACGCTAGCTGCTGCTCTCTGAACTGAAACACTTTCTGACTAGCTTCCAGAGGACAAAACTGTGCAAACCAAGACCAGTCCTACCTGAGGACTGTCACCAGGAAAAGTCAGCGTTTAGGCCCCATCAAAGGTCTCTATTCCCCTAAGGATCCAAATCTAAGCCTTCAAGGAGGATGAGTTTTAATAAACAGCAGCCCACACTCTGGTCAAAGGCAAATGCTGACCAAGGAAACAGCCCGGGAGTCTGCAGGGTCCAAGGAGCCCAGGGCAGTGGTGCTGAGAGTTGGGGAGGAAACAGTACCTCGCCGGGGTGGCAGGGAAGCTGTGAGCAGGGAATGGAAGGTCTGGCCTCCAGAAGCACCTCTCTCGTGCTGAACCTCCACCAGGTGGGCCATGTAATCTGCAAAACAGCAGCCAGGGTAACAACTGGATACACACAGGGAGTTCCTTCCTTCTCCCCTAGCAGTCTGAGGGGGCACGCTCCCACAGATGCTCCAGTGGAGCACATGGACCCTCTAGAGGCTGAGCTTCAGAACCTTCCGGCCCCTCTCTTTCTGGCTGGAAACTGAGCCCAAGGGCCCCTGGCACACAGACCCTCCTGCCCATTCACGCCCTACACCTCACTTTGGCTCACTGACCCCAGCTTCCCAGGCCTGCTCAGCTGCACACACTTGGCCCTACACGGCCTAGGATACCTGTGGACTGGGTCAGGACCCACTGACTGACAGGATGGTCCAGGTGCTTACTCTTATCCATGATGTTCTGCTCCAGGGTCTGGGGGTCATGGGCCACAGCCTGGTCTAGGTACTGGAGAAGCTTGCTCATGCTGGACACGGGGATGCCAAAGGACTGCACGAAGAGCAGCAGCTGTTGGGGCTCCAGGTCCTGCAGGGCTGAGGCAGTGCTCACTCAGTGATCCTGGTGGGCCAGGACCTGGTGGGTCAGGATCCTGGAAGACTGCCTGCAGCTTGCTCCAGAGTTAGGCCCTCCCGGCCCTGAGGAATGCTCAGAGATGTGGCTAGCGGATGCTCAGAGAGGTTCAGGGCAGCAACCAGAGCAGCCTCATGCTTAACTGGCAAAGTGCCCTGACATAGCCATCGGAGTGGCATCCCGACCCTCCCTCTCAAGCTGCCTGTATGCCACTGTGGCTGTTTTCTGTTAGTGCTCAGTTCCCTAAAGTAACCATAGTTCCCATAGCTTCCAAGAACCCAGATCCTTCGGAGCATGCCCTTCATGGGGCCTCCTAAGCTAACCTACTCACCAATCGGTCTCCCAAGGTCCCCTTACTCTGCTCCAGTGCCTGCCCCACTGATCCAGCTGCGCCCCCTCCCTGCCCCTCCCGCCTTGTCCCATCTCTGCCAGGACCCTTCTCCTCATTGGAGCTTGCCCAAACTCCCAACAATTCTTCAAGAGTCAACTCAGAGGTTCCCACCACATTTCCTCCTCCCCCTTTAATTCCCAAACACTTTATTTTCATTTCTTTTCTTTGGGCACCCTGAGCTTGACCACTGGGCCATGCCATGAGTCACTCATAGGCAGATAGGGTCTGCTCTGGGCCATGTTGGGCCTTCCCCAGAGTCCAGCACGAAGCCTGGTAAAGTCAGGACTCCCCAAGTGTCTGCTAAGTTACATGGGGGCCTCTCGGCGATCCAAGACCCACCACACCTATCCTCTCTCATCTGGTCACAGCAGCGGGTATGAGGTCCTCCCTGCTCCTGCCCTCAGGCCCAGCCTGATTCCATACCAGCATCCACCAGGCGTGGGACCTCTGAGCGAATCATGCGCAACTTCAACCAGTCGGGCAGCAGCAGCGCCTCCTCAGACGTGTCCACCAGGAAGGCAGTGGGCAGGGGTTTCTTCTCCGGAAACCAGATGTCCAACAACGCATGGAACTCGCCATCACCAGCTTCAGAAATGACAGAGTCAGCAGCTTCCTTCATCTCACCATTCAAGAAGGCCCAGGCCTCAAGAATGACCAAATGCCAAGGCTGGAGAACCCAGAGACCACCCAATGCAATTCTCCCTCTACGAGTGTGGAAACCGAGGCTTCGAAGGAACATGGAAAACTCAAACATTAGACTGTATCCCTGCTATATGCCAGGTGTCTTGCATCATCATTTAACCCCATGACACCCATGAGGAGTGGGCAGTACTCTCTCCAGTTTATCCTCATCTGTGGAAGCACATGGAAAGGGTAGTTCTATGAGACAGAGTCGCTTGCCTGAGGTCCAGTCTGCCCCAGTGGACATAGGTGAAACCACAGGCAGGCCCCAGGTACGCTGCCAGCTGAACCAGCTCCCTTCTAGCTCTCAGGCTCCACATCCCAGCGGGAAACTCCATGGGGCCCAGTCACTGTCGCTTGCTGCGCTTCCCCAGGGTAACATCTATGAATGTACACCCGGGAGCAACCATCATCATCTGCCTCCTGCCAGGGGTCTCTGTTCTGGTAGACTCTATCTACGTGCCACCAGATCCCCAGCAGGGGGGCTCTGTCCTCTTCCCTCCACTCACAGACATGATGGGGTGAGTGGGGCAGAGCAGTGAGCCAGGAGAGCAGGGAAGGCTTCCCGGCCAACAGGGCTCATCTAGCCTGTGATCACCAAGCTTGGGATACTGCCCCGCGGATAGTCCTCAGGCTCTCTGGACAGGGCCTTGGGGCCACTTGGGCAACCTCACGCTTAACTGGGAAGGTGCACGGGCACTGCCTCCTGGCACCTCAGGGTGGCCCCAGCGTGGGCCTTGGGAGGTGAGGAGCCTCTGAGAACCAGGCTCTCACTAGAGCCCCCATTGCCAGAAGCTGGGCAGTTCTCAAGGGCCTGTGTTTGTGGAAGAGCTCGTGTGCTTCCACAGAAACTCTCAGGTGGGTAGGAAAGGGTGACCATCTCCACTTTGCCAAAGAAACCAGGACAAGGTAGCGAAAGGGATCTGCCTGAGGAAGTGGGCTGGCGCAATTGTTCTTCCCTCTCTGCGTGCTTTCTGCTTGGAAGGCAGAAAAGCTGTTGGCAGGGGGTGTGCCCTGCCCAGGACAGACCACAGGGGACTGCTGCTCACCTCGGGGTGGGCCCAGTGTAAGGAGGATGACCATGGCGTGCACCACGAGGATGTGCATGGTTGCGGTCTCCCCACTTGTCCAGCGCAGGAAGACCTGGTCCTGAGACTCCGACTACAGGGGAAGGACAGAAGAATGGGGGCCATGGTAGGTCCAGGACACCGGGACCAAGGCACCCAACACTGCCTTACCCAGCTGTAGACTTCTTCCCCCTCCTTGCTCTTGCGCATGCGCCTCACATAGCGGGAAAAGATGGACAGCAGGGCACCTAGCACAGCATCTGAAGCAGCACTGCAGGACAGCTTCGAGAAGAGGTGTGACATGATGGTGGAACGCTCCACAACGAGCCGAGCCACATCCTGCGGGGTGCAAGGTGGTTAGCGGTGCCTGGCGGTGCCAGTCCTAGCTTCCCTCCTCCCTACACTCGGAGCCAAGAGTGAAGCCAGGGCAGCCTGAGCACTAGGCCCACTACAAAGTCATGTTGGACTTGGCAAATCACATACCCACAGGAACCCACGACTGCCCCCAGCAATGCACACGCTGACACTGGCAGGAAGTCGGAGCCCTCAGTAACGCAGGCCTTATGCAGATGGTACAAGATGCCCCGCACCAGGCAGCTGGCAGCTCCAAGGGAAGGGAGATGACGAGGGCATTATCAGACTCTATAGAGGACACGGTTCCCAGGGCAAGGAGACAGCAACTGGGCCCTGGTAGTGGACACTGCAGCCACTGCCTGCCACGGCATGGAGGAAGGCACAAGGAAGGATGAACCCATGGCCATTACTCCACAAGCAATGGAAACATGCATCTTACAAGACCCAGAGGGAAAAGCTATTGCAAACTGCCCAGACATAGTATTCATAAATTTCAACAACACTGAGAAGCTTGGCCAAGAGCCGGCAGGCTTGTGCACCAGATTAGACTCAGAGGACAGGGTCCAAGGCGACCTGGACAGGTAGCACTGACGTTGTACTCTCCAGCTCTCAGGCCCTAAGAGAGTACCACCTTCCCTGCCCATTTGCTGTCTGTCTACTATCCATTCACTTGTTCATTTCACAAAGACATGCGCACTCCTGATCACGCTGGGTTGGGACCAGCCTAGAAGAAAGCCAGGTCAGAAGAAACTCCACCACAGAAGGCTGGCTTCACAGAGGGACTGGGACACACCACGGGATGCAAAATGCCCTAGCCACAAGGCACAGAAGGCTGAGATATGCCGAGGGAGACACCCGCCCCGAGCACAGCAAGAGGGTTCAAATACCAGCTCCCTCTTCTCTGGTGCCTTTGTATCCTCATGGTCTGGGAAGAAATGCTGCAAGAAGCCAGCAGTGGCTAAGGAGGACACATGTGGCCAAGCCTTGATCACAAGGCCCCCAGCCTAGCTGCACCAGCTCTCACATTCTCCATACCTCCTTGCAACACAAGGTCACTAGAACTAGGCGAGTGGGGAGTCTCCAGCCCAGGGGGCTATATCGCTGACCCCAACCCACCCCTCACCAGGGCCAGGTCGCTGTGCTGGCCTTGTTCCTCCACAGGTGTGTGCTGGGACAGGTAGACCAGGTAGGCGCTGATGGTCTGTGGGTCGGTCTCCATGTGGATGGCCTGGGGAGGGAGGATGGTCTGAGCAGCGCCTCAGGGCAGTGTTGTCCCTTCCAGCGGCCCCATTAGCACCCCTACCTACCTGCTGCAGTGCCAGGGCGGTGGTGGTCCTCACGCTGTCAAACAGAGGCAGCCTGGGCAGATCCCTCAGCAGCCACTGGTAGCCCTGCAGCATGTCGGCATCCCCTGAATCCTCTTCCAGGGGGGGTTCTTTCTCTTCCCCATCCCGTAGGCTGCCCTCCGAAAGCACCAGTGACAAGCCCTGCAAGCAGACAGCACAGAGCTGGGCCCGACCTGCACCAGCACACATGGGGAGGGGAGCATATCTCCATCTTGGGGGAGCATGCAGGTTCCCTTGAAGCCCTGTAGAGAAGATGTGGGGCCTCCTATTTCCTGTAAGTTGTCACCATTAAAAAAAATCAAACAGCATGAGTGCTGTATTTTAAAAACTTTTGCTGACCACCTTTTAAGACAGGGCAAGTGCCATGATTGGCTCATTAGAAAAGTCATGATGGGGAACCAGCAGTTAGCGTAATGGCTATGTCGCTGGACTCCCACGTAGTCGACCGCGGTTCGTGTCCCGGACCCGGTGGCTTAAAACTCACACCGGGCGCATGTGCGTGCGTGCCCAAGATCCCGAGAGGAGAATGGAGGAGAAGGGATTGCAGCGTGACCATCCCCCCTGGGGGGTGATTTCTAGCTTTCTGTCTCTATGTCTCTCTCTGTCTGTCTGGCGAGCGCACGCGCCCTACAGTGAAAATCTCTCCAAAAAAAAAAAAAAAAAAGAAAAGTCATGATGTATTTTTTCTAGGTTTTTCTACGCAAAAACGTATTGTGGTTTTTCCGACAACCTAATGGCTTACTGAATCACCTTTGAAGTATTTGATGTCATCATCCAAGGAAGGAACATAGGACAAGTGACAATTGGCTTCTGTCTTCCTAGTTTTACTAGTAACATCTACCCTATGCCCAAAAACTAGTTAGAGAAAAGTCTGGATGTGCTACACACTCATTATAAATATGAAAAAAGGGCAAGAGCGTGCGAGCATGCACACGGAGACAAGCGGCAGGCCCCTCACCTTCATGGCCAGCACCCGGGAGGCCACCTGGGAGGAGCCCAGGCGCCGCAGGAAGTAGTCAAGCACCTCGCACGTGGTCTGCTCGTCAGCCTTTGGGCCCAGTAGCAGGTCCTGCAGGCGGCCCAACAGCTGCCGCTGCTTCTGCTGCCTCTGCAGAAACAAGAGAGGCCTCTGAGGCAGGGCCCAGGGAACCCAGTGGGCTGGGGTGAAGCCGGGAGGGGCATTAACCTGCCGCTTCTTGGCCTTCTGCTCTCTGCTCTCGCCCTCATCCTCCTCCTCCCCGGAGGTGGCATCGTCAGCAGCATCGTGCAGCAGGAACTCGCACAGGCACTGCACGGGCAGCACGTCCAGGGAGCCCTCGCTGGACTGCACCAGGTCCGCCAGCCCGTTTCCCCTCCCCAGGCCTGCCTATTCCCCCCGGAGCAGAACTCCCCTGCCTCTGGATGATGTTGAGGAGGAAGTCAGGGTTGCGACTGCGACACAGGAGGTGTCCAAGGCGGAGGGACTGGTTGAGGCCTTTTACCTGATCTAGGATGTGAGGGGGAGGCCTCCGGGGGGGCCCTCTGAAGGTCACAGATGACATAAGTGTCAGAAAGCCACAGCATAATACCCCCGGACCAACAGCAAAGGGTAAGGTTGGGGGAAGCTGAGACCTCCCACCCCTGCCTCTAAAGGAACAACCCAACAGGCCCCAGGCCTATCACATCCTCGACCTCAGCTGTTCCTAAGGCCTGGCTCCGGATAGAACGATACCAGTGACACGAGGACTGGCTGTGGCGGGTATCT